TAAAAAAAAAAAAAAAAAAAAAAAAACAACAAAAAAACCCACAAAAAAACAAAACCCAAAAAACAAGGGGTGAAGCCAGGGCCGGTCCTAGGAGACAAACGATGGGGATGGAGGGGGGAAGGAGGGGCAGCAGACAGACAGGGGACGGGCGCTTCACATTACATCCACAAAGAACTCACTGGGGTTGCCCATGGCCATTCGGAAGGACTGTCTACTGGCTGTCAGTTCGGGGGGCACAGAGGCCAGGTCACGGCCTGGCGGCGCCCCGGGGGGCCCCATGGCTGAAGGCGGCGGAGGCGGCTGGCCCCGAGCGCTCGCTGGCCGCGCGCTCACGCCGCATGCTGCTCCGCGTGGTGTGGTCCGACTCGCTCCCACTGCCGCCTGACTTGGACTCCCCAGTCTTCTCTCTCTCCTTCCTCCTCTCGCTGCCGCTGCGATTGGAACCGCTGCTCCGGCTCCCTGCGAAGTGCACGAGGCAAGGTTAGGTGACAGCTCGGCCAAGGCGGGAAGAAAGGATGCTCCTCCAGCCAAGAGAGCACCGCAGCACACTGCAGCACAGCCAGCACTGTCCGTGCTCTCAGTCTCCTTTCAACTCTTGAGTTCCACAGCCCTGGTGAGATCGCTTTTGCCCTGGCTCCCCGCACAAGCAGGGCCTTGCCTAAGCAGCCTTTTCCTGCTGCTTTCCTGGACTGAACAGGGCATCTGCCCATCTGCAGGCGTATTTTAGTCTTTTTCACTCACCTTCACTGTGCTGGCTGCCTGCACTACCCCCTCCGTAGCTGTAGCCTGGGTCAGGGAAGCCGGGGTGGGGGTTGTATGGATGAGGCGGTGGATACTGATACGGGAAAGCCATAGGCCAGGGTGCGGCTCCTGGCTGGGGGAGCGGAGCCAAAGTGTCCTGATCAGAGGCACCGCTGGAGCCATCATGATCATGAAGAGACAGATTAGCCATGTCTGCAAGAAAGCAGAGAAGAGGGGTTAAACCAAGCAGAAAGACAACCACGTGTGATGAAACAGCTCCCTGCCCACTCTTGCTGAGGGACAAGGATGGGGTACACATGGAGACGCAAGAAACTGGCACCCTTCCTGCTAGTCAGTGCAGCCACTTGTGCTTCCTGGCTGGACAACAGCCAGGCTACGTGAGTCCGAGCTGCCGCTCTAATACAAAGAGCACCCTGGTGGGAAAGAAGCTGCAGCTCACCCTGCCAATTACTTCCCCCATCCCTCTTGTTTGAGGGGAACCCAGTTCTCTGAGCACCACCCCCTTGCCAGCACTTGATGTTCAGAGCCTGGAGACAAAGTGAGTAACAACTGACTCTGTTATGGCTGCCTAGGAGAAAAGCTCACACAGTGGGTGACACTGTCAACGCTGCTTCCAACTTCACCACCCCAGCAGCACGACAAGAGAGCTGGGATATTCTTCATCACTCTCTCACATGGTGTGTAGAACAAGGGGCCCAGCCTGATGGCAATGGCTGTAGCTATGTCCCCGCCATGTCAGCAGGGCTCTGCAGGACCTCTACCCCTCCATCCTCTCCCTCCCACCCACGTCGAGTGCCATACTTCCACAGAGGTCCCCGAAGATGTAATAGCACTGCTCCGAGAAGGTGATCTTGTTCACGGTATGTCGGATGTAGCCAGCCTTCAGCAGATTGCTGGCGTATTTGCGGGATTCGCGACGGTCTGTAAAGCCCTCCACATGGTGATAGAGCCAATCCACCACATCCGAACCTGCCACCAAACATCAGAGTTAAATACAGCAAGAGAGAGGAAGACAGTGGCCCTTGAGGCAGCGGGCCACAGTGGAGCCAAGATAAAGTGAGCCAAAAGATGAAAAGGGACTGCAAACTGAGCCAAACTGGTTCAGTTTGTGACTCTGGCCCCGTCAACAGTTAGTTTACAGTGACAGAGACGCTCCCTTGGGCATCTGCTTGGACAGCAGGCCACCCATACCCCGGTCCCTGCCTCTGCTGCAGGCAGCACGGTCTCTTACCAATGAAGGCATTGGGGATGGTGATCTTCAGCCACATGCGGTCACGCACCTCCAGGCCTGACTCTGGTGAGGCCATGGCTTTGACAATGGTGGCCATGTCACTGTGGATGGACAGGTGAAAGTCATCGAGGCCTGTGGTGTGGACGAAGGAAGGGAGGCAAAGATGAGAGAGGACAGAAAAGACAACAGGGCCACATGGAAGCATCGCACACAGGAGGGATGGGCCAGGGAACAATACATCGCAGACAGCCTTGAGGTGCATGCTGTGTAACCCCCCTTCCAGGCTTCCGAAGTTATCCTTCACACGTCAGCCACTTCCTCTCATGCAAAACCCAGGCTAGAGTCTCCTTGCTTCCAGCCAGTCCCAGGCAGCTGAGATCCCAAAGCTGCCAAGTGACCCCACACAGCCCCACACGAGAATTCTCTGCTCCTCACAAACTTACAACAAACTCCTAGCTTTGTGCCCTGTCTGAGCTCTCCAGACCCTCGCTTCAGGGCTCTGTATACTAGAATCACCCAAAACCTTCAGAAAGCAACCAAGAGAGCCCTGTGCTCAGCAGGACCCTGCCCCACTGTAAGGCTCTTTGCTCCCCGCTGCCTCCTCCATCCTGCCCTGTCTGCTGTCTGGGAGGGCAATTGCTCCAGGGACAAGCTGAACTCCTCTGGCCCCACACCCCCAGCTGCTAACCCCTGACTGTTCTGAGCCTTTCCTCTGCACCTTCCTTGGCTCCCAGATTGCACCCAGACTCTTCTACTCTCCTTACACAGAAGGCTGAAAAATGCGGTATTAATTCACCAGGCAGAACTCCCATTGATCCAAGCGCCTGCCTGGCGATAGCTGCCTCCCCAAGTCCCTTTGCAGGGCAGATCTTGCCTATCCCAGCTGTCCCCAGGCAGATGTATTGCTCCCTTTACACCACAGCGAAGGCGAGGAAGCCGTGCAGCGAGTGGAGCACGGAGGCACAAGGACTTACGTTCAGTCTCTGGGATGGAGCTGGTGATGGAGGAGCTGGTGGAAGTGATTGTGCTCATGGATGGACTCATACCGTACGCTGGGTAGGTGCCAGTCATCGCTGCCGTGTGAGATACCCAGGCTGCCGGGTCAATGGGCCGGATGGGCTCACCTGCATTGAAGAAAGAGTCAGTCAGTAGCTATTAGAAATTATTCCCTCATCACATCAACCTCTGGGGAGGGACAGGGACTCAGCACAGCCTATTCCATCCCCAGCATCTGCCGGGACTCACCCGGATCGGAGCATGGAGAGTCTGGCCCAGCCCAGATCCGCTGGGGAGCAACTGGGAGAGAAAGAAGAGAGGGAGGGTCAGCAGGAGAGGTGCAGAGGGAGAGATCCCCCTATGGCTCAAGGGGGGGTTTCTCTTTCCTCTGGCGCCCCGAGCAAGTGACCTCCCTGCCCCAGTGAAACGCGTCCCCAGCGTGATGTGGGAAGGAGGGCTGGGCTTATGGGCATTTTGGCCTGGGCATAGGACATAGCAGCCTCCTAACAGGAGAGCTGAAACCCCATCAAATCCCAATTCAGTGCCACATGGAGTCACACACACAGGGGTGGAACAAGACAACAACCAAGTAAGTGCTTAAGGCAGGGCTCACATGAGCTGGGCACCAGCGTTAAGGGTGGGTCAGCTATCCACTTACTCCTGGGTAACGAGAAGCAGCCCCGGGGGCTGGGGTCCCAGCACTTGGCCACTGTCAGGGTGATGGGCCTGCAACAAAAAGGCGAGAGTTAGAACAAGAGCCCAGTGGCACAAGCCCCCCCATGATGGGTGGATGCTGTACATTGGCTCTCTCCTGTGAGACAGGGAGAAGCTGCCAGTAAAGGGCCCTTGTCCCCATCCAGCTACGGATTTCCTTAGTGGCATGGAAAAAATGATGTGACCCTGCTGAGGGTTGCTGATGGCCCTAATGACACAGCATCCCCACAAAAAAGGGGCACAGACCCCAGTTCACCACCATTCTGTTGGCTGCAATTCTCGCTCTGGGCATGAAAACCCAGGAACCAAAGCGACACCAAAAACTTAAGTCCTGAGCTTCTGCAGAGCCACCGGCAGAGGTGGCTGGAAGACACGACTGACAGACCCCAAGCACACACCGTACAGCTGCCCATGGAGGTAAGGAACAATCCAAGTACTTACCCTGGCTTGTGCACAATCTCCCTCAGCACCCGCACAGCATCATCGTTGCTCATGTTCTCAAAGTTGATGTCATTTACCTGCAAACAACGCAAAGAGGTGAGTCCCAGAGATGTGACCAGAGGCTGAGCTCCCCACTCAGCTCAGCAGTGACTCAGCTTCCCTCTTCCAAGCGCAGCTTCCTGGGTTCAGCCTGCCAAAGTGCGCAGCGAGGCTTCTGGGTCTTTTCTTACTGCTTTCCCAGGCCCAAAGATGGAGGTATGTGGGCGTGAAGTACCTGCAAGAGCATGTCTCCTGGCTCAATCCTGCCATCAGCTGCCACAGCGCCACCCTTCATGATAGAGCCAATATAAATGCCTCCGTCCCCACGCTCATTGCTCTGTCCCACAATAGAAATGCCCAGGAAGTTGTATTTCTCTGCAGGGATGGAAAGAGAAAGAAGTAAGATACCATAAAGTAGTAGGCACAAGCAGCCCTAACCTCAGATAAACCACGTGCTAATGATGGTTGCTTGCACCCCTGTCCCAGAGAGATGTCCTGGGACGCAGAGAAACTTTTGAGAGACCAGTGCTTCAAGACAGGCCACTTTCCTACAGAATCCACCTCCTCACTCCTCCCCACATGTGTTCTCTTTGGCCCCTCCCCAGTTCCTTCTTCGCCACCCAGTCTAGCTCTGGAAGGACTGCAGGCTCCACGCACACCTCCCACTCACCCATGTTCAGCGTGACTGTGATGATGTTCAGGGACATGGTGGAGTCTGTGATGCTGCTGAAGGACGATGACTGAAACATAAGCGAAACGTGAGATGTCCTCTTGTGCCTCAGTAACATTCCCAGCCCCAGCTCCCTCCATCTGTGCTCCCTGCCACTCCCTGTGGCACCACAGCCCCCACCCATAACTCCAGCCTTATGCTGGGAGCTTTGCAGAGCCAGAACGCATCAGACACAGTTCTTGTGATGTCTCCACAGTGAGGACAAAGTCTGTGGTCCCAGCTCTTGAGGCTTGGAAAAGGTTTACAGCACTTTATGAAGTCTCAGCACTTGGACACCACCCGTGCCCACAGCAAACACAGCCCCTGACCATCCCTGAAGCACTGAGTAGAGACCCACCAGGCAGCCCACCTTGCCCTGCATTGCCCTCCCCAAAATAGCTAGCCTCTGCGTACCCGCTCAATGCGTGGAGCCTTCTGTTTCCGCCGGCGTCGCTTGTGCCTCCTCATTAGACGGGAAGCACTGCTTTGCTCTGTCGAACTGCTAAACCTAGAGGTAAAAGTGAAAGTCAGCTCTTCTGCTGCCAGGGTGGTGGCTCTGGCAACAAGACAGCCACAGAATTGGCACAGGGAATATAGGACTGCAGGGGCAGAACACGTGCGCAGGGGACAGATAATAGCAGAGGGGGCTGCTGGGTGAGACTTGGGACAGCAACAGGTCTGAGCAAGGACTCTGGAGCCCAGGATTACTGTGCCCCGCAAACGCATCTCTCTGTGCTGGGAGGTAGGGGGAAACTAGTGTTCCTCCAGGACCTCAGCTCTCCTACCTGCTGGTGGAGTCATCTTCATCTGAATCGAAGAAGCTGGTGGTCTCCAGCTCACTGCTCATGAGTGTGGAGGAGCTCTCGTACCCGCCCAGGTCTCGGCGCCGCTCTCCCTTCACTGTCCCATTCACCCTGGGTGCTATGAAAGGACAAGGCTCAGTGTGCTTAAGACAGGTCACAGGGAAACAATCCCTTTACTTCCCACAGGGCTCACAGCAACCTTCCCAGAATGAAATTGTCCAGCAGGCTATCTCATCTAGTGCCATCCAGCTCTAAGTCCACCCTGGGATCAGAACTATCTTCTGTGGGACACCTCTTCTATCATTACAGGATGGGCAAGAGGCTGATGGGCCACTAGGAATAATGCTGCTAAAGTGGTGGAAGACTTGCAGCTGGTTCCTTGGCAGAGCAAGCAGCAGCAAGGAGTGACAAGGCTACAGCACACTCTGCTTTTCAACCAAGAAGGACGGAGGCACTGCTGTCTCGTGCTCTTGACGCTTCTACACGAGACATCTCCTTTGCCCCCAAGGTTTCAACACCAAGCTCTGATGCAACACAGGTGTTAGTTCCTGTCTCCAGCATGAGGCTATGGCCTCAGATCACTGCTCAGCCCTTCTAAGCTGGGAAGGTTCTGCAGAGCAGAGCGCGCTGCCCCATGTCTGGAGCTGGTGCTCCCACCATAACCCAGCCATGACCTGCAGAGCTCTTGCCATGTTACCAACACTCACCATGTTCAGGCCCATCTTTCCGACGAGGTCGTTCCCTTTGCGATGAGACCACTGAGTCTGTCTCTGTCTCATTGTCCAAGTTTTCCCGGCTCCCCCCAGTGTTAGGGCTGCAATGAGATACAAAGAACAAATATGTCCAACAGGTAACAACTTAAGCAGGCTCTCTCTACCTCTGTGCTGGCCAGCATGAACCTCCAGCCATCAGCTGTCTCCTTCTTGAGGGATAGGAGCAGAGGCAGTGGGGAACAACCACAGCACATCTATGACTGCATGGCAAGGGACTGGGCGAAGCTGTGCCAGCTCTTTGCCAGGTTCCCTGCGCTATTTTCAGCATGCCTTTGCTTGTTGAATAATGCAGCTACACTTCAAATCTGTTCCCAGCCCCATCCTCCTCCCCTCTGGCTGGCTCTGATCCCTGCCAATTTGAGTAGGAGTGTCCCAGCTGCTGGTCTGGATTTACAGCAAAATCACTGTGGGTCCCTCAGAAACCAAGTCAGGTGTCCAGGTAACTTACTGGAAAGAGGGGGGCCTGGAGTCTCCAATTCCTCCTGTGCGCTCCATGGAGGGCGGCAGCTCTGTTTGGTTATCGGCACAGACCGAGCCAGCATCTGAATGGGAACCCTCCGCAGACACCAGCTGGAGGGACGGGAGACAGAGAATGAAATGGATGAGGCACTGGGAAAACGTTTACAAGAGTGGCCAAACGAGCTGGCCAAAAGCCTGGCTGGCCCAGGATCTCATCTCTGACGGTGGACAAGTGCAGATGCCCAGGAGCAGGTATGGAACAGGCCAAGCATGTAGCAACATTCCCCCTCAACGCCTTCCCAGAAGCCAGCTATTTGTGGCTCAGGAATTCCTGACCCAGTGGTAAAGTCCGGGTGGCTGATAGCCCTGCCTGGAGACTCGGCCATCATCTGCACACCCACACCGCACCATTTTTACGCTCAGGTAATCTTTAGCACATGTCCCGTAGCAATGAGTAGATTCTTCTCGTTCTTCTTACATCAGAAGGGGCAGCTACCAGTCCATCGTCTTCTCAATTTTACCAGCCCCCTCAACTCTGCCTTCGAGCTGTGGGACCCAGCAGGACTTTCATCTTCCCAGCCCACGATGGAAGCTGGGGGTAACAGAGCTCAGGGCTGAGGCTGGCTTTAAAATAGACTTCAAAACGTATTTTTTTTTCCCTGGTTTCTACAAGTACTTTTCAAACTTTCAGCTTCTGTCCAGCTAAGCGGCCTGGGCATAGCCTCCAGCCAACCTCTGGGAAGCTCAGCAGTTGCCTCAGCACATAAATCCAATAAAGGGTCAAACCCCAGGTACTATTTATACTATCTGTGCTTTGGGGCAGCCCAAGCACACCTACATCTGTGCCTCTGGCACTAATTTCAGGGCTCAGGGAATGAGGTGGAGGCTCTGGGGGGTTACTCCTGGGGGGTAACAGGCTCACTAGTGGGATGAAATGGAGGACAGCTCAAATGAACTCAAGGGAAAGTGGTTTCCCCAACATCACTCCGTACCCAGGTTTGTGCTCTCCCTGCTTTCAAGCTGCCTTGAGCAGAGCTAATTCCGATAGAGCCAGGCAGGAAAGCAACAGAAAGCCTCTTCCTTGCAAGAGACATTCAGTGACCCCCAGAGCAGAGGTGACAGGGCCCTGAAAGGAGCCCTCCCCTGGCCAAGGAGTGAGTCCCCAGGGAAAGGCTAGAGCTCTCGAGCAAGGCAAGATCAATTTCCATCTCCAAGGACATTCAAATGTGCTTTTCACATCTGCACCATGTCTGTCCCCTGCATGGCATTGGCAAGCAGGGGGATTGGCTCTCTCCCAGTGTTCAGGAGGGACCACAGGACCCAGCACCTTGATCCGCCCCAGACAAAACAGGCTGTGGGTCAGCCTGAAGCCATCCCAGGGAAGCGAGCAGACCAGAACAGGGGTCAGGCCTCAGCTCGTGTGCTTGAACCAACTGCCAAGCCATCAGCCATCACAAAGAGGTCTGATCTAACAGAGGTGATGGACGTGTCACCGTGGGTCAGGGCAGAGGGATCATGAAACATGGGCTGGAAAGGAGCTGATAGCTGCTGCCCAAACTGTAACACCCAATTTAAATGCAGAGGCAACTCTGCTGCTTGCTGGTGAGGGGATCAAACCCGCATGGACGCAGGAGCAGATGCCTGCCCAGGTGCTGGAGGCACAGCCCATTTACACAGGTCCTGAGTGCTTCCCAGCATCACTGATGAAACACAGAGCTGCACCCTCCCCACCTCGGAGAACTGGGGAAGATGATAAAGGGGGCAATGGACCCCACAGACCATCTTTAGGGCAGGGGGAAAAAGGTCTGCTGCCAGGGAGGCACTGGGAACAGAGAAAGGGATGCAGCTGTGGCAAGGAAGACAGGCCAGCCCCAAGAAAGCCACAGCCACGGCAGCAGACAGGGCAGAGAGCACCCTGGGGTGCCAAAAGCTGCAGAGCCCGTCCCACAAGCCCCAGGACAAGCCCAACGGCTCCTGCTCTCACAGTTGTCTAACCAGCTCTTGTCTCCCACTGGGCTCGGCTTCCCTCCCTCCAGCAAGCCCCAGGCACATGCCTGGCTCTGCTCCTGGCACCTTCCTGGTGACTTGTCTTCCCAGGACCCATCCCACTCCCTGAGGGCCACATCTCTGCTCTGGCAGCCACTGCCTGGGAGCACAGGGTAGAAGAGATGCTGGAAGGGCCCAGCATCACCTAGGGAAAAGTCATATAACACTCTATGCTTGAAGACCTCAAGGCAAGGCCAGGCAAATAGAACTGGACAGAGGGAGCTAGGCCACAGGCAGCTGTCAAACAGCAGTGAGGAGCAGAGGAGAGCAGAGGGGGTGTTCCTGAGCAGGGGGACTGGTGCTGCCTTCCTCCAACACTCCAGGGGCTGGGATTTCCTCCAGGGAAGTTTTTGATAACCACCCTGCACTTTTCCTGCCTCTTACACTGTCAGGAAATAACCACTTGGACCCAAGCCCCAGACTTTTCCTCTAGCTAAAATTAGTACCAAACTCCTAAAATAGCCTCATCCCAGCCTGTCCGGCAGAAGCAGCAAAGCAAGTGCTCCCCCCCCAGCCCCCAAACCACCCATGGACAAGGAGACTCCCAGCAGAGATAGAAAAAGGGATCAGCAGCTGTACATCAGGGTCTCCAAGACGGCCGTCACCCTTCGTGTGCAGGAGCCAGCAGTGGTGCTAACTCCAGGCACAAACTTCCCGCAAGCAGCCAGCACACCCAAGCAGCAGCGCGGTGCCCTGGTCACACCGGACCCGTGCCACTCGCACTGAGCAACCAGAGAGCCCCTACCAGGAAAGCCAGTGGGTGCATGGGTGCGTGGACCGCAAGGAGAAGCACACCAGGCAAAAGAAGAGCAACGGAGAGGGTTCAGAGACTCCGGGACTGCCCATGGAGCAGGTGGAAAGCAAAGGGCAACTGGAAGGGGAGGCTGGGGAGGTGTCTGGAGCTGAGAGCTGGCAGGCTGCTCATGGCGGGCCTGGCTCACCGCTGGCGGGGGCGGCAGTGCCTGCGGGACACACGACGTGGGACACGGGCAGGACCCCCCCTGCATACGGCGCCCCCAGGAGCCGGGCTGGCAGCAGGCATCCTCCCGCCGCACAGCCAAGGCCCAGCTGCTTGGAGCAGGGGTAGAAGCAGCATTAGGTCCCAGCTAGCCTGACTGGCTGAGGATTTTCACTGTTTAAGGGCTATTTGGTGGCCTCTGGAAAAAGACACTTGGGGCTTGGTTCCACTCCTGGCGTAGACCCACACAGCCCCATCAGTACAAACTGCAGCTCAGCAGAGGGGAAAAAGGGATGACAGGCTATGGAGGCTGAATACCCTCTTGCCCCACCCAAGAGGGTCCCCTCGAGGGCAGAGGGAGGCATGCGGGCAGGGGACAGAGCATGTGCACGGCACAGCATGGAGGGAGAAGCTTGTCCTGCAGCTGCCCAGGCAGTACCTTTAGTCTTCAGGGCAGCCAAATCCAGTCCGCTTCACCAGCACTAAAGTCACTTAAGCCCTTTGCGCCAGTCACCGGAGCAGGACTTTCCTTGGAAAGCTGACCCTGCCATAGGGGCACACGGGTTACACTGCGGACAGGCCGGGACCACGACCTCTGCCAGGCATCAGTCACCACGAGCTCTCCACAGAGGCATCCCACATCTTCCCTGGCACAGGGGACCCAGTACCACACTGCCCCATCTCCAGCTGAGGGACTGGAGTGTGGTAATCCAACTCCTTGGCTTCGTTAGCAGTCACCACACTGACAGCACAGAGCAGTCCCCGTGCCTTGCTCAGCACTATGCAACCGAACGGTGGTTTTCAGAGAGGGCAGAAACAGGCAGCGAGATACTGAAGCAAGGGGCTTGCTTACCCATGACACCACCCGGCCGTTGAAGCAGGGAAGCTTGGCATTGTCATCCGAGATCTCTTCTTTCACCACCCTGCAGAGGAGAGAGGAGGCAGTCAGAGCTGGGTCCGGGACTTCAGAGAGAAAGGAGACCTTGCTAGGTGGGTGTCTGCACCCAGCAACAGGCAGCCCAGGCTTGGGGATGGGGCAGCTCCCTCCTGCTGCCAGGCTAGAGCTTCCTATGCCCACAGCCACGACCGGCAGGCTGGAGGGGAGAAGACAAGGGCAGAACAGGCTTCCCTGTGTGCATCCAGCTGTTCTATCCCCCGATTCACATTTTAATCAGTTAAAAAAAAAATTCACAAGCATATTTCTACCAGTTCGCTTACTTCTAAAGAAATACATAATTTAAACCTCTTTATAATGATCTGAAGGAATCACAGCCTATGCCAGAGATTTCTAATAGATGAAAGTGAAATACATTAAACATGCTGCCTCCCAAATGTTACTGTTGCTTTTTAATTACGTACATAATATTTCAACATCACTTTAAGCTTTATAGTTGTGCCACAATGTCATGTTCCTGCATTACACAAACAGCTATGTTATTATCAGCCTTCATAGTGGAGGAAGCACTGATAATTTTTTTTCCCCAACAGTATAAACACCGATATTCTTTGGAGACAAAATTTTTTCTGTTTTATATATCACTGGGCGCCTAAATGCTTTTTCCACAGTGAGTCTGCAATGAAAACAACTTCACCAGATTCAATTAATACCATCTTTGATAAATCAAATTTAATGGCAAAGTAAGCTTTAACAAGCTCATTTTCTCTTCTACTCAATTACAATATTTTAAGCACTTTAATACAAAGACATCTTACAAGTAGTTTGTGACATTAATTTCAAGCTATATCTAAGGTAGCTTGACATATATATTGTGCTTAAAAAATAATGTAGTAACTAAACAGTGAATAAATTATGTTTGGGGGGGGAAAGAATCCAACAGAAAAAGAACAAAAGAATGAATGTGAAACCAAGGGAAACTACATATTAAAAAGAAGTAGCTTATCAGTAACTAATAGGTTCACAGAAGGGGGATCCTGTCAACAGCTCTGAAGCGTCCCCAAGCCAGTCCCCAACTCACGGAGAATCGAAGAGGATGCAAGCGTGGGCCGCGGAGCTGTGACCCATTGCCCCAGACTGCCTGGCAGCCCAGGCACTGCCATCGGGTTGCAGCACGCTGGGGCTCAGAGAAACAGGTACTCTGGGGTTCTGGCTGCGCTCCCTGGTGTGCCAACGGCTGCCCAAACCGTCACTGAAAATAGGATGGCAAGGCTCGCCAACACTCGCAAGGCACCAGCAAAAGGCAAATGAACAGCGCGGGAGGACCAAAACCTGGGGAGCAGGCTCGCTCCACCCTGCCAGCCGCGCTGGTTGCTCCAATGTCACACACGCCCAGCAAAGGGCTGTCCCACGGGGTGAAAGGCAGCACGTTGCCATGTCTTTGCTGGCAGCTGGCACTTGCGATCCTGGTCCAAACTGGAGAGCCAGCAAAGGGATTGGATAAACGCTACCCACCCCCAGAAGGCACAGATGAGGAGGTCACGGTCTGAGCAGTCTAATCCACTCCCAGGATGTGCGTTAATTCTTCTTGCACAGATGGAGAAGCAGGAAAAAGCGGGAAAGGAGCAGTGAGGATGGATTAAACCCCTGCAGACTTAATGCTTCTTCAGCATGCCCTGTGCCAGCCTCTGCCCAAAGCCCCTGCAGCCCAGGATGAGTGTCAAACACAGGCAGACCCCCAGGACCCATCCCCTTTGGTGTCCAAGTCAACCCTTTCCAATGCAGGCAAGTTGCCGCCTCCTCCCTTCCAAGTGCGCACACACGCACCCTGGCCTGGCTGCGCTAGCATCCATTCATACTGTCGCCAGCAGCCTGGACTTCATCCAATTCCTAGAGAGAACTTCAGGCAGAGCCAATTTTCAGTGCTGCATGCTGCCTGCTCAGGGACACAGAGCCCTGCCTGTGGGTGAAGGGACAGGGTGACATATTTGCAGGGTCAAGGTGACCAAACGCTAAGCACAAATGAACTATTCCACTTTTGGTGGGGACAGAGGAAACCAAACCCCAGGACCCCCTGCCCACCCTCAACTGTGATGCCCGACAGAAAACAAGCTCCCTCTGTCCTGAGAGCTGGTCCCTTGTCACTGCTATCACCCTGCTGCTGCTCCAGACATCCCCGGGGTCAGTCCCACCCCGCAGCAGCTTTCTCCCTCCTTCCCCAGCCACTACATTATTTATCACTATTTACCACCCAGATGCCAAAGCACAATGGATTATATATTTAGACTCTACAGAGCAAAAACTGATAGTGCTGGAGTTGGGCAGATGCTGAGCAGGAATATCTACGCAGCCCTGCTCATGTCTGCTGCGCCTCGCACGGTCCCAGCTATTCGTGCCCTGCATTCCTCTCCAGCCTCAGCCCTGAGCTGTAGCCTTTCTCCCCCCACCTCTCACCACTCTCTTCAAGTCACACTTCTCCCACGAACCAGACCGCAGGTTCACATCAGAAGCCACCGACTGAGCAGCCTCTGGGGGAGCTGTGAAGGCTGAGCTGTGAGCGGTGCCACGTTTCTCCTCCGCGGTTGCAAGGGGAGGCGGCCATGAGATGAAACCATCCCGTGGATGTACTGGGAGGGAAAACCATCCTGTGAATTTGCTGGGAAAAGCCCCAGCTGACAGGGTCTGAGCCCGGGAATCCCGAAAGAGCAGACCCAGAAGGATCTCAGGCTCTCTCGATTCTCTAAAAGCCCTTCTTTTTGGCAGCAGCCAGCACAGCCCAAGGAAAACATCTGCCCAGGGCTGATTTCAAAGGGACTGCTTTTAGTTTGCCATCCATCAAGGCAGCCCGGTTTCAGATTTTCTGGTGTTTAAAGTCCTGCTGGGGGCTGGGCACAACGTGGCTGAGAATGGCGGTGAGGGAAACCCCTCTGCTAAGCGAGAGGCAGCCTGAGCCTTGCCCAGGCGAGCGCGGGTCCAGCTCTGCATGGAGAATCGCCCAGCAGAACACGCGCTTGCCGGCCCCATCCCGTCCCCGGGGCCGGCTGACGTGCTGCGGCCAAGCTGCGTGCTCATCGCCTGGCCGGCAGGCCCAGTGCTCCCCAGCACTCATATGCCTTGAATTTTCCAACAAAGAGACCTGCGGGAGGGAGGAAGGAGGGAGGGAGGGAGGGTTACAGGGGAGGCAGGCCGAGTGGGCGGATGATTCGAGCGCCATCCCCAGCGACACGGGGCCAAGCCAGGGGAAGAGGGGGGGACGAGGCTCTGGCTGGCTTCGGGGCGCAGCG